GTCGAGTCCAAGAGTGAAATTATAAGATTGACTTAAGTTAAAAGCATACCTGGAATCCGGGTGTTACAAAGTGAATCCAACTCGAGACAGTCCACTTCATGCGGAGCCATATCGTCATATGCATGACAATGAGGCAATATTTGATGAGAAAACAACCTTTAATGAAGATATTCACTAGAAAAAGCAGAAGCATGTGCTAGGTATGAGATTTGAAATTCCTAAACAGTTAAAACATATATTGTATAATTATGATGTTGTTAATGGTTATTAGTTATGTTATAAAAAATATAGCATGAGACTTTTAGTTAAATGTTGTTCTAACCAATGCAAGTTCAGACCGTGGGCTTCATGGATGAGTGAATAACACTATTTCCAAATGAAGTCTCTCATAGATAAGCAAAATTATAAAAGAAATTGAAAATTGAAAATTGTTAGCTATGCTTGGATTGGTAACCATTACACTAACACAAATTTTACACAAACAAAATTTAAGTGTTAGGCTACTTAGGAAAGAGGTTAAAAAGAAATTTGGTATAGAAGTAGGTATGTGATATATGGATGAGCATTTGGACCGGGGAACCGGCCGGAACCGGATAGAATCGATCGGGCCGGGACCGGGACGATATTCTTGTGGATTTTAAGAATCGGGAACTGGTAGGAACCGGAACCGCTGGAACCGGTAAAAACCGGTAGAACCGGCAAAAACCAAAACCGTATGTTGCTATTTCTCGAGGACCGGTTCCAACATTGAAGACACGATAAGAACCGGTAGAACCGGAACCGGCGGTCCGATTTGGTTCTTAATTTCGTCCGACTTCGGTTTCTGGGTCGGGTCCGGTTCGGACCGGTTCTAGCCCGATCGGTTCCTTTGCTCATCCATAATGGGATAATATATGAGAGCAAGGAAACATGTAATTCTAAGGCTGGACAGAATCATAGCGGAAAGAGGGAGCGGGAGCCTTCTCGCACGACGGAACACCGGACCGTTGCTGCGGGAGGCGGAGGTGCGGAAACCGGAGAGGGAAGATACCCCGCGTTCTCTCTCCGTCTATCATTGGCCGGATCAAATTGTTTTTTTTTTTTGTGAAATAGCCATTGATTAACGGTAAAAAAAATAATTTTTTCTTTTTTTTCTTTTTTTTTTTACCAACGGATATATGCATTTAAACCAATTTTTTTTTTGTTTTTTTTACCTTTTTAAACACCTATAAATACCCAACTATTTACCTTCAATCAACATTCAAACAAACCCTCTATTCTCTCTATTTTCTTTTAAAAAAAAAAAAGAATCCCGACAATCAAACCCCAACTTCCGATCGAAGGAAAAAAAGCCATGGTTCGAGTTTAAACATCCCTACTCGAAACATTTTTGCTATCGATTCATCACCACAAGGAGTTTATCGCCCCCAACTCGATGCTCCCATTCAATCCCCACTATAATTTCAATACCAAAATGTTGGACAATATTACCCGATCCAAGTTCCAAATGTTACGCCGCAAATGTTTTCAATCTTTGTTGTTTTTCCGGATCAACAATCGCCAAATCAACCTCAACCCCAAACCCAACCCCAAACTCAAACCCAAACCCAACAACAACACCAACTTGTTGATGAGTTTGATGACTCGGAAGAAGAAGAGATGGTTGCCGAAACTCAACCCACACCACCCCCACAAAGACGTAAAGGGAAAAAACAAGCGCGCGAGGGTGTCACACAACCGGGAAGACAAAAGCCGACAGCATGGCTTCCACAAGAAGAGCTAGTTTTGGTCAAAGCTTAGACTGACATTTCTTAGGATTCGATTCAAGGAAACGCACAACCGGGATACCATTTTTGGTTTCACATTTTAGAACGGTTTCGAGAGGAGCTAGCAAAATGTGACGACTACCGTACGAAACATCAACTGAATTCAAAGTTTCGAGAAATAGCAAATGGAGTTTCAAAAATAAACGGGTTGTACAACAACCTAAAACCCCAACGAAAAAGCGGCCAAGGCGACGAACAAATACTTCAAGAAGCTTTGCAATTTTACTTTGAGGAAGTCGGAAAACCATTCAAGTGGCACGATTGTTGGAAATTATTGGTCCGATGTCCTAGGTGGAAAAAATACGAGCAAGATTTTATTTTTGGAGTCCAACAATCAACGCGAACGAAAACGGGCTCTAGTGGTTACACAACCTCCTCCAATGCTCGGGTCGGTCTAAATTTAAATCAGGATGACGAACTCGAGCTAGAAGAAATTGTCCGCCCAATGGGTAGGGACAAAGCGAAGAGAAAGGGAAAATGGACTTCTTCGGGTGCATCAGATTTCACCATAGAGGTTGACGAAATACAGAAAATAACAGCGTCGTTTGATCGATATAATCTTAATTTCTTCGAACGTTTGGCGTTCGACAAAGAAAAAGAAGAAGCAATGAAAAAGGAGCGGACGGAGAGACAATAAATGGAAGATATAAAGTTTTTGATGGAAAACACTGATCATCTCTCGGGACCGGCTCTCGAGTTTGTGATGAAGAAGAGTGAAAAAATTATGAAAAAATATTTTCCGTAGGTCTTTGTTGGTTTGTTTGATTTTTAGTTTGTGTTTTTTTTTTCTATTTTTTTTTTAATTTTTTAGTTTTTTAAATTTTAGGTTTATTGTAATTTTTATTTTAATTAATGAAATGCATTTTTTTTTAATTAATTTTTTTGGTTACTTTTAATTTAAAAATTATAAATCATAAAAATCAATTAATTTTATTTAAAAAAACAGTGAAAGAAGTCCTTTCCACTCATTCCTTGAGTTTTAGGTGAGGGAAAGAAAAGTGAGGGAAATGGTTGTATGACCCACAAAAAGTGAGGGAAGATTCCCTCCCATACCCTCCGGTCTAATTGAAGGAACACTTGTACAACACTATTCAAAGTTTTGGTCGTGTTTATAAAATGCAAATGTTGCACAAACAACCCGAACCGACCAGTTTGGGTTGTGTGTTCGGTAGTTTTTTTTTTGTTACAACTGATGGATTTGTGTATTAAAGCTTTTAAAATAATTTGGAAATTATATAGTTTATATGATATGATGTCACAATTTTCTATTTATTCTTATTTTATAGTTATAAGGAATATAAAAACTAAAAGTCTAAAACCGATGTTGTAGGGTTTTAGCATCTTTTTGGCCCAATAACTCAAACCCGTTCATAGCAACGAACCAGAAAACTTCTACCTCACAAACTCACATCAAAATGGCGACTGCAGCGGCTGCCGCTCGATCTATTTTCCGGTCATCCTCCGTCCGTAGCGCGGCGGCAAGAGCATCCTCCCAAGCCAAAGCTGCACGCTCTCCCTTTCGCATCGGTAGCCAGAATGCTCTCTCTAATCGCATTTTCAGGTAACACCGCCATTGAAACTCACGCCCACAGATCTATAAATTTCGTAATTTAATTTTCCTTCCGTCAGAAAACCTGATGTTTTCGTTTTTTCAAGATGCAAAACAAAATTCGTTGACGCCTTTAATTGATTTGAACTTTGAAGTGTCACCCCAAGGATATAATCGCATTCAGTCCTAAACATAAAGTTCAATTGTTTTATAAAAAATATCGAGCTAGAAGCTTGCGTAACTTCAATTTCCACAGCTTAATTTGCAATAGACGACTTATAATTATTGTGTATTTTCATTTTGAATGATTCAGATGTCCAGCTGAAATGAGTGCGTGTTTGGAATCATTGCAACCTTTTCACACTGCCACTGCTTCAGCATTGATGACTTCCATGCTTACCCTTTCTCAACGTGGTTACGGTTGGCTCCCTGAAGGTAAAGTTCAAATTTCCTTAAATTGTCATTAATTGTATCCAATTTACGAAACTATCTTCATTTACTTGGGTTATATGATTCTAAATTACATAGTGATACTGCTTTCTGCTATATTCATATACTTATAACACTAGACATTGTTTGGGGGCTTATGCAGTCACTTAGGAGGTAGCATTTTGAAGGCAATTTGTGTGGTTATGGTGATTTAAAGATCGTTTTGCATTTTTGATAGTTTTATCTTTATTTTGACACTGTGATTGTAGTTTTGTGAACTTCAAATTAGTTAGCAAAGACCCTTATAACCATCAAAGTATCATATTCTTCAAGGGTTTCCCACTTTTACAAGAGCAATTGTTGTTCTTTATGGGTTCTAGGTTTCATTCATGTCAAGGCAACTTTCTTGTGTGTTCTTGACATTTCATGGTTTGTTGAATCCTCTCATTCGAATAAGAGTTCTTTCATGTAACTTTGCATAGCTTATAAGTTTTCATTAACCCAGAATCAAGATTCAATTTTGATTGGATTTACACTCTACCCACTAAACTTATTGCCTATTCTTGTTTTTGATTTTCATCTTTAGAGGATGTGATCATC